ATTTGTAATTCAAATTGCCTTGCTGTTGAATTTGTATTTATTGCCTTTTAATGAGTTTTGATTCAAGACATTGTGTTGGAGTATGCATCTCATCCTTGTTTCCAGAATGCTTCTATATAATGTGCGTGTCAGGATGAGTTAGCTGTGCCAGTGTTGTAACGACCCCACTGCTCATCCTCGTTCTGTCTCATCGTCCACTCTGTACTCCCCAGCATTGAGTTACATTTTCCTGTGATATTTTCAGTGGTTGGGACTTGCAGGCACGTTCTTGATTTTACTAAGATCTTGCCTGTGGTTTTTGGCAATAAAAGATTTGCTAACCCAAACCAGACGTTATCATTACTTTGTCTGTGCTGAGTGCTTTTGTGAATACAAGTACTTGTGTGCATGCCTTTTCAGGTATCATTTTCTTTTTATCATTCAGAATGTTTGTTTTTGCTCAATCAAATTTAAATGGACAGTTCTTGTTAAAAAATTTGAAAAACATTAAAACCCTTTTCAATGCACGCAAAATATATTCTGCTTTGTAATAATTACTTTTTTCGTACACCTATATAATCTGCTTGAGCCTTTAAGGAAAAGAAATATGATTTATATTAAATGCGTTTCTTCGTTTCTCCATGGAAGTAAATGATTTGGTCTTATGCAGTTGAGAGCGCAGTAAAACAATCGATTTGGTGGTGAAAGTCAGCTCTTATGTCTGTGTATTAAATTCATTATTGCACCTTCTATCATCTGCTTCTAGTTCTAGTTTGACAGCTTCTAGTTTGACAGTTTTTTTAACCCTATCCGTACGTCATGTTTTGTCATCGTATCCATACGACGTGGGGAACTCTGTGCCACCACTTTCCAAAGAGGTAATTTACTCGTTAATCCTATCCGTACGCTTTGCATAGCAGTCTGTCAAAAATTATATTTTTTTAAAGAAAAACTGAAAGTGTTAAAGAGATCTTCGTACTAGAAGTATTCTAAAATGTAAATAAAACAACCCCGGGGGTACAAAATGACCCCAGGGCGTACGGATAGGGTTTAAAAGTGCTTTGTTGTGGAGGGCGGTTCAGTAAATGATCTAAGGAGTAAGTGCTTTGTTTAATATAACATGGTGAAGCTCACTCCAGCAGCACGAGCTCTGACAAGTGAAAGACAACCAATAAATCGCGACGACACTGTGATCGCCAGCACCTTCTGACATTGGTGCCCACTACAGCTGGCTGGATGGGCACCCCGTATAATATCGTAGGCCTACCTTTGCGACGTTTGACAGAACTTGAACCGATCGTTACTCTTTTTTTGTGCGTGTTTTTTTAAATTTATTTATTTATTTATTTTATTTATTTATTTTTTTTTTTTGGTGTGATCAATTTGACAATACGGCTATTGTAGTCTATCACCTCCTTCAAATTGTCCTCAAGAGACAATATAAGACTTAACACTTTTCCAGATACATGTACAGTGCAGTTCATTTCAAAGACGAAACATTTACCCCTTGATCAAGACACCTGACTAAGATGAAAAGTGATACAGGAAGGATGAAGAGTATTTGGGGCCACTAAATGTTTTTACATGTTTGGTTAAGCTCAAAACCAACTGTGCTAAATCATTGTCATGTAATCAGTCTCTGCCATTTGGCTTGATCAACGTTGTAAAGTTGTTGCACAAAGGTTCAGTTTCTCCTTCTGAAAAAAATTTTTCTCTGCATGTCAGGCTCGTTTTTAGAGATACGTATTATGTGTTACCTATGAAGCTTGTTTAAGATATTTGAAACGTTTAGAATTTTAAAATATTTAGTGAGCAGGTATGGTGAATTTTTCCTGGTTGGTGCTCCTGATCTTTGCTTGTGATTATGTCATTCATCTCCAGCTTAAAAATATACATTTTATGTGTACTTGTCAAACTCGACCATAATGATAATGCTTTCCTTCGACTTTGGTATCCAAACAATTACTTTTGTATATATTTTTTTTCTCTAAGGCTTGCAATCAAATATCATTTTGATACTTAAAACGTAAGAAAGTATTTTCTTTCTCTCTTTCGTTCATCTGATTTCAAATGGCCTTTTTAGTACCTCAAAAACACCACATGATGTTTAATTTAGCTTGGTCTGCATTCTAATGATGTGGGTCACTCTGTCACAACAAGTTCATAATTGTTCAGGGGACTTTAATGGTTCACAGTATCCACTTTTTGTCAGTTAGTTAATGCTTCTCCATTCTTTACATGTCTTGAATTTGGCTTGGAAATGGAAAGGAATGTGGATGGTTGGCAAATACTCTGATGATACTCTTTTTTTTTACTGTTAAACATCTGTGGCCCTCATCTTTCTTCTTTGTTTTGTTCTTGAATTTACTCTCCAGTAACACCTCTAATCTTCGGCACTTAAATTTCTATTTGTATTACAAGTGCCGTAAAACTCTAACGGAAACTAAATTAACAGAAAGGAAGGGTGGGACATGTTCATGTATCCGTGTCTTTGGACATGTGCCTGTACCCTCACAGTCTATTCATGAGCAATGCATAACCAGTTTAGTCAAAAGATAGATCCTGTGAGCTAGTGTGGTTCAGTGGTAAGACAATTACTTTACAGTCTGACATAACTGTGACGGCTTTATTTTTTAAAAGAAAACGTTCATAGTGCTGTGAAAATATTTCTATCCTATCATAGTCAGGAAGCAGAGCGCCTGATGCCATCTCATGTATCTGTTAGTTCTTGAATTTTAGCAACCAATCAGTTTTGGAAGGGTCTTCACTCTGGCGTCTGTGGTGTAGCGGTTGGATGCTTCACCGTTGCACACAGGAAAACAGAGTTCGATTCCATATTGGGGAGAATTTATATCAAGTATCTCAATTTTTCTGCTGGCACATTGTATCCCTCTCTCGGTCAGCTTTTGTTGGCCCAGACAGGCAGGGTTAAAACCTGCCTCCTGTATTAATGATCTAAATCGTGTCGATGAGGGCGTAGAACTACATCTGCTGGTGCATCGCACGACCAGAAACTGTTCATGTGGTCTCAATTTACAATCAGTTTTACAGCGTTATGTGATTGTCATTATATTATTATTGTTATTATTTATTATTATTATTATTATTATTATTATTATCATTATTGTGCTTCCTCTTTTTCTTCTTCTTCTTCTTTTTCTTCTTCTTCTTCTTCTTCTTCTTCTTCTTCTTCTTCTTCTTCTTCTTCTTCTTCTTCTTCTTCTTCTTCTTCTTCTTCTTCTTCTTCTTCTTCTTCTTCCTCTTCTTCTTTTTCTTCTTCTTCTTCTTCTTCTTCTTCTTCTTCTTCTTCTTCTTCTTCTTCTTCTTCTTCTTCTTCTTCTTCTTCTTCTTATTATTATTATTATTATTATTATTATTATTATTATTATTATATACATTATTATTATTATTATTATTATTATTATTATTATTATTATTATGTCATTATCATTATCATTATCATTAATGATTTTATTATTGTTATTATTACATTGTTATGATTGATTTGTAATTCAAATTGCCTTGCTGTTGAATTTGTATTTATTGCCTTTTAATGAGTTTTGATTCAAGACATTGTGTTGGAGTATGCATCTCATCCTTGTTTCCAGAATGCTTCTATATAATGTGCGTGTCAGGATGAGTTAGCTGTGCCAGTGTTGTAACGACCCCACTGCTCATCCTCGTTCTGTCTCATCGTCCACTCTGTACTCCCCAGCATTGAGTTACATTTTCCTGTGATATTTTCAGTGGTTGGGACTTGCAGGCACGTTCTTGATTTTACTAAGATCTTGCCTGTGGTTTTTGGCAATAAAAGATTTGCTAACCCAAACCAGACGTTATCATTACTTTGTCTGTGCTGAGTGCTTTTGTGAATACAAGTACTTGTGTGCATGCCTTTTCAGGTATCATTTTCTTTTTATCATTCAGAATGTTTGTTTTTGCTCAATCAAATTTAAATGGACAGTTCTTGTTAAAAAATTTGAAAAACATTAAAACCCTTTTCAATGCACGCAAAATATATTCTGCTTTGTAATAATTACTTTTTTCGTACACCTATATAATCTGCTTGAGCCTTTAAGGAAAAGAAATATGATTTATATTAAATGCGTTTCTTCGTTTCTCCATGGAAGTAAATGATTTGGTCTTATGCAGTTGAGAGCGCAGTAAAACAATCGATTTGGTGGTGAAAGTCAGCTCTTATGTCTGTGTATTAAATTCATTATTGCACCTTCTATCATCTGC